CCAGTTGTTCTGCTGTTGGGTCAATTTGCATATCTTATTATATAGGATAGGACTATTTTATTCACTTGTATAATTAAAACAGTAGCCTGTGATGGAATACTATGCATGAATGTTTATTTAACCTATAGGAAGAAAATGAGAAAAGAATGCAACACAAGGATTATTCAGACAATGAATCTACATCTTTGGATATGTAAGTAACTTTAATTAAGTGTTCAGTCAATATTTATGTGCAAAAAGCATGGGATTAATTTTAATGTTTATTTATTTTTAAGTTCTGGAAAGAGAAGGAAAGGACCTTTTAAAACCATAAAGTTTGGGACCAACATTGACCTTTCTGATGAGAAAAAGTAAGTGTTCCAGTTCTGTTTATGTAAAGTAAAAATATGATTGCAGGATTGGAAATTCCGTAGTAGTTACGTTTTTGTTTGTTTTTTATTCCTATAGTTTTTTATGTTGACATTAGTTAAAAAAACCAGCATTTTAAAACTTCTTTATTAGGTTTTGAATTCGATTTTTTTTTACTTGAAGAATGCCAGAACATTAATTTTATAAATTTTAAAATAAAAATTATGTGTTTCATTTACATCAAGCATGTCAAACTCATGGTCCATGGGCCACATGTGGCCCACAACAAATATTTCTGTGGCCCAGACATTATAACGGTATTGTAAGGCCTGGGAGAAGCCTCTCCCTCCCCCAGACCTTTCTTGCAAGTCCCGGCCCTAGTTTAGCAGAGTTATTTTATCTCTTCCTGGGATCGGTCTGTGCTAACTGACCTTTCCAGTAAGCCTGGTGCTCTGGTGTAGTCACAGCAGAGTTGTTTTATCTCTCCCTGGGGTAGGTTTGTGCGAGACAGACCACCCTGGCCCCTCAGGGAATGACTCAACTGCTAACACAGGCCTGTCCCCTCAGGAGATAAATTAACTGATAACCCAGTTCCCTGACATTCCAGGCCACCTGTGTGTGGTTTACATTCCAGGCCACCTGCGTGTGGTTTTTGTCTTTATAAACTCCTGTTCTACAATGGCTCGGGGCTCCAGTCAGCCAGCACTTCCCTTGGGTTGCTGCCTGTCTGCCTGAGAGCCCCTGCGCTGCGCTTGTAATAAAAAACCTCTTGCTTTTGCATCAAGTTCCGGTCTCCGCGTTTGACTTGGGGTCGTCGCCTCCTCCGTCGGACTCCCCGGGGGTCTTAGGGCCTTACAGTATGTAAGAAATGTTTTAGTAAAAATTTTGCTACTTAATTTTTACAATATGCTGTTATACATAATTATTAATAACAAATACAAGATTTGCTAATAACTGATTACTATAATTCTGTTGCATTTATTTCCCTTAAGTGCAGGCGCACCATTTCTCTCCACTAAATACCAGCAGCAAATATTTTGGCAGCTGATTGCCAGATCATTAGTCTTGTACTGACTTGT